GTGGAAGGCGAGGGGATTCAAGGGAAATTACGGTACCCCGATGAATTTTCCGAGCCAATCTCTAGCCCCCCTGTCGCTTGTCTGGGCGGGTGGTATGAGGAACATGGCTCGTTTGTTCTTGAGCAAATTTCCACGAACACTATTGCAGAATTTATGCGGTAGGTGGAGCGGTCTTCAATGCAGCCACGCTGCTCATATCTGGACAGATAAGTACCCCAAATCGTTCGTCGCTGGTCCTAATGTGCGTGTTTTGTCTTGTAAAAAAGCGACCGCGAAAAAGAAGACTATCACGTAAATGACAAGAACGGTCGGGGTCCATACAACATCCAGCACTAGCGTGCATTGTTCCACAGCGTCAAAAGGCCCTGGCGATGTCAGGAAAACCAAGAATGTAGTCTAAACGAAGACTAGGTCGCACAATGCCGTCATTGGCACATTGCTCCCTCAACAACGTGGAATACTTCACCCCCACCGACAAACGCTTGCAAAGCACTTGCTTGTCCCAAATCTGGTTCCAGTCGCTCCGTAGGGCTAACAAGACATCCCCGAATCTTGTACGCCAGAGCGACGCCTCGGTTTCATCGTAAAGTTTTCCCTGTGTGCCTGCACGGACGGACGAGCACACGGGAGAGGCACATTGCAACCGTGACCGGTGGGGCGCGCGATTAATTATTATAGGCAGGGAAATATGCTGCGATGCCCATTCCTCCTGTGGAACTACTCGATTTGGGTATGTAGCAAAACGCTCTAAGCCAAATGTCACCTTCCCTCTTCCACGAAGAAGGAATACAACATCCGCCACCTACAGAGGGGTGACGGTGGCACGGAATTTCCACATGGGGTTCGCAACCCTTCCTACTCCGACCGGGGAGATCTATCTTGTGTAGTCAACTTAAGACACATTGCACTCCCCAACGAAGCTTGTTTTGGAAATCTTCGTTGTGTGTACATCACGAAAAAAAGCGCCTGCTGCGGCGATAGGCTAGAGGAGGACAACCACGACAGAAAGATACGAGAGAGCGAGGAAGAGGAAACGTAACGCGTTTCATACAATAATAAAGACACACACGAAATCTCCTTGTGCTTCCGAAGCAGGAATCTGTTGCCCAACTGCTGCGCCCCCCATGTCCGTAGAATCCTTAGCCTTTGATTGGAATGTGTTTGTGTTTTTTTCCTGCTCCAAGACTGACTACAAGTAATTTCCATTGGTCAGCCGGCTAGCGCGGTCGATGCCAACTGAACAAACACACCCAGCATACGCCGGCTAGAACCCTGCAGCATTGAAAATCGCCGACAAGACTGAACCGAGAGCACACTCGCCATTTTCCTTGTCGTTCGGTGTGAAAATAAAATACTGGCTGTCATCATCCTTTTGTCCTTTTGTGTGCGTCAATATACGAGGAGGGAGAGGAAGAGGACCTACGGCTGTTGTGGTAGACTACGGTACGGCGAATTAATTCCTGCTTCGGATAACCGTGATCTTGTAGGTGGCATGAGATACTACACACACCCTAGACAAATTTTCCAAGCTCGATTGCTCCACAGCACACACAGGTAAGAGGTGTCAAAGCGGAAAATTTCCTATGGGAATAAATTTGAAAAAGCGTCCTCGGATCTTGCTGATGGAAAATCGACCAACAAATGAAATTGCACGGAACGGTCGGAACCTCCCGAAAAGACCCTCTGACGCACACGC